CCCCGTGTGCCCCCGGCCCTCGAACTGCCTCCGCCCGCCTCGAGCAGCGTCTCCGTCCTGTCCCTAACTTACAGGGCCCAGTCCTGGAAACGGGGTGTGTCCAGGATGACGCAGCCCGGGTGGGGGGGGAGCCGGCAGGCCCCGGCTCTGACGGCCTCTCCCCCAGGCGTGTACGACAGGCCCTCGCTCTCGGCCCAGCCTGGGCCGGCCGTGACCCCCGGAGGGGACGTGACCCTGCAGTGTAACACCCGATATGGCTTCGACCGGTTCGCTCTGCACAAGGAGGGGGACCCCGGGGCCTCCACGAAACCTGAGCGCTGGTACCGGGCCGACTTCCCGCTGGTCACGGTGACGGCCGCCCACAGCGGGACCTACCGCTGCTACACCTTCTCCAGCAACAGCCCCTACCTGTGGTCGGCCCCCAGCAACCCGCTGCAGCTCGTGGTCACAGGTGAGGGGGCGGGCAGCGGGGGCTTGCGGGGCTGGAGCCCCCGGATTCGCCGGCTTCAGACAGCGCCAGAACCGCCCTCGTCCGGAGGTCGCGGCCCCTGCAGGTGTCGGGATGCAGGGAAGGTGTCAGCTGGGCTGCTCCTTCTGGAAGCTCCGGGCACCCATCCCCGGCGGCCCCAGGTGTGAGCACGGCCGGAGTGGACACTGGCGGGCAGCTGCCGGTGGTGGGAGGGGCCGGGCTGGATTTGTTGATCCTGCACCCCCGTCAGCAGAGGGGCGCCTGCGCTCCCCGCCACGCATGTCCCATGGCACTGGCCCCTCGTCTCTTCCCGGAGAGGAGCTGGCTTGCTCCCGGGATGGAGGCCAGGTGTGGGTGGCAGAGCACAGGGCAGGCAGCGTCGGGGTCAGTTCACCCTGAGCTGTCACCACCCCGCAGTCAGAGGCCTCAGAGCCGCAGCGGGTCCGTTTTCCCATGAGGAAACTGGCCACAGAAGCGGCTCTTTGCTCAGCCGAGCCGCCGTGCCCACGGCTGACAGCACACTCTATCCTTCCATCTTCCTCAGTCCCTGAGGTGCCCTCGAGCCAGCTGCCCACAGCCCCTCCTACCTCCGTGCCAGGTGAGTTCTGGAACCCCTCACCCCCGTTTGGGGTGCAAGATAGATGCCTCCTCCTCTTTCTCTAGATTTCTCAATTCACCCAACTCTTTTACAAATTTGCTTTATAAAATCCCTTATTTCTGCCTGCCAAGAAGATAAGCTATAATTTCTTCTATTAAATTTTACGTTTTGGGAATGTCATCTGTAAACAGAAGCGCAAGGTGTGGGCCCCTCTGATAGCCTTCTTCCCCTCAGCATAAAGCCCGCAAGTGCCATTCGAGTGGCTGCCTGTAGCAAGCCCATTCTTTTTTTTTTT